GGTCTCTCAATTGGTTTCTATAAATCGACCTTAACGACACGTTTAAGATAACGATAACGACGTCTCATAACGTTTTATAAGGCCATCACTTCGGACCAGATATTGACTGGCATTGTATCAATTTGTCTGGGCTTTTTTAATTACATGGAGCCTGTTCTCTCTCTCACTCTCTCTCTATCGCTATCTCTCTCTCTTTTCTCTCTCTCTCTCTCTCTCTCTCTCTCTCTCTCTCTCTCTCTCTCTCTCTTTCTCTTTATCTCTCGCTCTCTTTCTCTTTATCTCTCGCTCTCGCTCTCTCTGTCTCTCTCTCTCTCTCGCTCTCTCTCTGGATACGACAGTTATTTTGGTATGATGGATTGACGTGGTATCATGTGGCGTTATGATCCGAGAAGTTGCCTGTGCGTTTTCCTCGGGTACCTGTCTGGCAACTCTGGTAAGGGATTGGTAACGCCACAAACTCCTTGGGCGTGGGATTGGCGACTCGCAAAGTAGCATTAACGTTAAGGATTCTGTGCCATAAATCCCGAATATGTATCATGTTATGCACGTCTGTTAGCTATAGTGTCATGGTGATCTCGTCTGTAGTCTTTTGTACTAAAACATCACTTCTTTTAATCATACATTGTTCAGAATACCGGAGAAAATATTATTGTAGAACAGCCCAGTATATAGCCTGGTACACATAAGTGCTTCCCTATGTGGTAATTTAGTAGATAATATCATTAGTCTCATACCCGTAGCTTTAATTCCACGAAAACCTCATATGTAGTATTATCTATAGTAAAATAATTACCAACCTCATGATAACAATAATCATCATCATCATCGATTTTTCTGCCATCTTCGTACTTAATATCAGTCCACAAATGATTACGATCATCAGTAGCGCTAACAGGATAAATTCAGCTACAAATTACGTCACTTGTTTCAGTTTGCTAATTTCCCTTTAATCTAATTTCTTTTCTCATTAACGTCGCGTCTCCTCTTCAAAGCTCGTGTCTGTGCACCAGGGACCGAGGAACGAGATGTGAATTAATGTAATGGCGCTTTCTATTCCTTATATGATAAGGGAGGAGTCTATTTGTGTTTGTTTGTGGGAAAGAGAAAGAAGGAAAGAAAAAGGAAGAGAAAGAGAATAAATAGAAGAGAGAGAGAGAGAGAGAGAGAGAGAGAGAGAGAGAGAGAGAGAGAGAGAGAGAGAGAGAGAGAGAGAGAGAGAGAGAGAGAGAGAGAGAGAGAGAGAGAGAGAGAGAGAGAGAGAGGTTTGGAGGAAGTTGAATGAGTGGTATAGACAAATAGAAACAGAGAAAGGGAAAGGGAGAGAGAGGCGAAGGAGATGAGATAAGGCAAACAAAAAAAAACAAAAAAGACAAGAATAAGATGACGAAAAGACAAGCGAGAAAGCGAAAAGAGAATAAGAGCGATGTCACAAAAGAGAGCGGGGGCGGGAGCAGGAGACGAAGAGATAACAAGCCCAAAGCTTCAGAAAATAAGAAAGAAAAATAACATCGCATGAAATAACAAAGAAAAATAACACCGCATGAAGTAACAAAGAAAAATAACACCGCATGAAATAACAAAGAAAAATAACAAAAACAGTGGAAAAGCGAACTCCCCTATCCAGAAAACGCACATACCTCACCAACAATCCAGCGATTCACTCGTGCGGAAGTTACAGTCGTGGGAACGGCGACTTTGCTGCGCGATGGGGAGGAGGGAGAAGGAGGGGAGGAGGAGGAGGAGGGGAGGGGGAGGGGGAGAGGGAGAAGGAGGGGGAAGGGGAAGGAGGGGAAGGGGGGGGAGGGGGAGGAAGGAGGAGAAGGGTGGAGAGGGGAGGGGGAGGAAGGGGGGGGAGGAGGGGAGGAAGGAGGGGAGAGGAGGAAGGAGGGGAGAAGGGAGGGGAGGGAGGAGGGAGAAAAAGGAGGGGAGAAAGGGGGAAGTGGGACTGGAGAGGAGAAGGAGGGGAGGGGAGAAAAGGGGGAGGGGGGCAGGAGAGGTAAATGAAAAGAGGGGGAGGGAGATGAAGGGGAAGGGAAGGGTGGGGAAGGAGCATAGTAGTTATAGTTTATCATATACAATATACATATACACGCATATATATGTTTTAGGTGTAAATACATGCATGCATAATAATATATATATATATATATATATATATATATATATATATATATATATATATATATATATATATAATATAATGTATTACACATCACAACACACACACACACACACACACACACACACACACACACACACACACACATATATATATATATATATATATATATATATATATATATATATATATATATATATATGAATATATATATAAACCTAAAATTCTGACATGTAATTCAGGGTTAGGCCTAAAATCGCCGAATATGACGCCTCCAAAATAAAGAACCCCATTGTCTGGAAAGAACAAAAACAACGGCTTCCCATAAATAACACTTCCCTTCTAAAACGCTTTAGTCCCAAGCCAGTTCTAACACCAGTAAACCAGCCTAACCTTATCTTAACGAACCTTTTGATGTCTTTACGTTATACAAACATGAGATACGGTTGCAAGCGGTTGACTTCGAGGGTTATGGTGTGTGATGTACAGTGAGGGTGAGGCAGGGAGGTTCGCTTGGTTATCCCTCAGTGCTCAAGGTTTTATCTTACTTTCGGTGTTCAGCACACACACACACACACACATATATTATGTGTGTGTGTCTGTGTGTTTGATGTCTGTCTCCAAAATATAGAGGGAGATATGTATTCATATATAGGTATGTACGGATGTATATGGAAATATGCATATATATATATATATATATATATATATATATATATATATATATATATATATATATATAAACATGAATGCTTGTGTGCATGTATGTATATATGTATGTTGTCTCTCTATAAACATATATTAAGAGAGAGACAGAGAAGATAGGTACTTATATATACGGATTAGATATATATACTAATATGTATATGTATATATGCATATATATATACATACACACATGTTTATATACATACACAGCCATATATATATATATATATATATATATATATATATAATATATAATAATATATACATATATAAATATATGCATGTATGTATACATACATATGTGTGTGTGTGTGTATGTGTTTGTTGTATGTGTGTGTATGTATGTATGTGTGTACATACATATGAAATATACATATAATATATAGACACATATAATATATACATATTATATTTATATATATGTATATACATATGCATATATGTATATACATACATATAGATAAATAGATATACATATAAATATATGTATATATATTTATATGTATGTATGTATACTATCACACACATATATAAGTATAAACATACATATGTCTGTTTGTATGTATATATGCACTGCATTGATCATTCGCAAGAAGAGAAAAGGATATATGGTAATACACATTATCCAAACACGTCTACGAAGTGAAATACGCGACACAGTCCAATCCAAAGAACTCCTCAAACAGATTACCCGCCACCAATTACATCCACACTCACAATAACGGGGTTGACAGAGAACAAATCCAATTTATGCGGGAGCCAAAAGACCGTCGAGTGCTGGAGTGCATTGTGTGCCTGAGGGCGTTAGTCTTCGGGTTATTGAGACACGAGTACGTTTTATCAACATTTATTACCTTTATATTTATAAATGTATGAAACAAGTCAAACAGTGAATTGTTTATTCAAAGGGTAAGTGTGTATATATATATTCACATAGAGAGTTCGTAATTCAATAATCTATGGTTAGTTTTTGCATTACCATCTGTTCAAGTCTCACTTAAATCTCTCTCTCTCTCATTCTCTCTTCTCTCTCTCTCTCTTTCATCACTCCCCTCACTCTAGTACACTCCCAGCGTTGTGACAAGCAAAACACTTCAATTTTCCCTTGCCAGTACCGGTCACATCTGGCAAGCATAAAGCTGCTTTTCGCCCATCACTGCCGCGGTTAAAGCAGCTGTTGCACGAGGATAACACTTTGTTGCCCCCAGCCAAGTCTAAGTGATCTCGCAGCTTGAGTAAACTGGCGGATTCACGACATTTTGGGCCATAAAGGAGAGCGAGATAAAAAGGGGTCAGTGTCATGATGATTAAACATTCCAGAGTTTTCTTAAAATATTTAGAAAAGTGTTTCTTAGTTTTCACTTTTTTCTAGATTAACAAGTGGTGATTGAAGTCGCACTGCTTGCACCCGACACTATAACTGAACTGGGAATGGGAGTGATGATGCCTCCCGTCGGTTGGCTATTCAAACTACGTATCTCACTCGGGTTGTTTTCTTGTAAGTTCACAGAGGTGCTGCCATCTGTTTTTGTGGCTAACACACCACAAGTGCTGCCCTCTGTTGACTGTTTGTAGAAGCCTCGAGTGCTGTCACCTTTCGGCCGTTTGCGCAAACTCGAGCAGCTACTTTCTACTGGTCTTGCGATCGAGGTGGAACAGGTGCTGCCATCTATCGGGTTAGAACGAGGCAACCCATGGCTCCCTGGACACTGGAGGGCGATGGGACATGTAGTGGATCTCCTAAGTTGGTGCTCGGGGCATTTGGTGGGCCAGGTGGTTGTGGTAACGCCCTCTGGAAGGTTCCGCAGTAAATCCATGGCCCCCAGACAGCCCGGAAGGAAGTGAGAAGCTGCACTACCTCCGAAGATCTTCACTGGGTCGCTCCCTTCGCCTAAGGATGAGAGACGGAGGTTGTTTAGACAGGTAAAATACTTGTAAATGCAGAGTGTAAGTCTATGCAATATGCGCATGATATGTATCAGTCGTTATTTGTTGAGTGCATTTTGAGTGCATGTGTAAATGTGCATGTGTGTCAGTCATTTGTGTGTATTTGTATGCATGTGTGAGTTATGTGGTGAATATTTGGTGTCATGTCCGTGTGTTAGAGATTGTTTTCTTATTTTTTATTTATTTATTTTTTGCGTGACCGTTAGTGTTTTCGGATGAGAGTTATGTACAGACAAAAGCTCTCATGTGTGCGACTCACTCGATAACACTGAGGTTTGGAGACTGGAAGAGGACGACCTGCATCTGTCGTGATTATGGTCGTCTGCGCTCGCCAGGTGGTGCTGATGCTGGCCCGCGTCCCGCCCCAAGAGGCAGGAGGGGACAGGCAAGCTTGCTCCGTCGTCCGTGTCTGGGCGTGATAAGACAGAGAAGGAAAATTGATTGAAAACTTTGGGAAAAAATTGTTAAGAACAGTTGAAAATTATATTTCCACTAACGATTATAGCCATACTTAGTAATACTAGCAATATAAGTAATAAAAATGATAACGTTAATGCTAAAAGGTCAAGATGAAGACAATGATGATATTAATAACGACGAGAATGAGGGTGAAACGATCATTGTATTTTTAAGATTAACTACATTATTACCTGGTCAGATATTTTGAAACATATGATTACCATTGCTCTTATTGTTGTTAGTTATTATTACTATCATCACTGTTATTGTCTTCAGTGGAGAGATCTATATACAGTGTATAGTCAAGTAATTTTAGTTACGTTTTAAGTATTTTTCCAATGTAACATTCAGGCTTTCTGCAATCAACGAGAAAAAAAAATATTTTAAAAATCACCATATGTTTACTCCTTCGCCTCTTTCAGGTCTAAACTTTATTCTCCACACACCATGTATAATTTTATTTTCAGAAATGTTTCTGCAATAAAATGCGCCGTGTCAACTGCTGGCATTCACAAAGTCAAATAAAACTCATATTTTTCATGTTTGATATTCGGAGATATGTATTTCTGTCTCTCCCTTTCGTGTACAATTCCAGGTAAATCCCATTTCGACACCAACTCCATCGTTCTGACAGTTTGTTGCAAAAGTCTGGAGGTTTGAGTAAATAATAAAACCGGAATATATCGATAATGACCATTAATATGATGATAATGTTGATAGTGATACAGGAAATATAAACAATAATGATAACAATGATAATGGAAATGATAATGATAATCATCAAAATGGAATCATAAAAAGATTTTTAAGAGTATTGAACACACGACACTATTGGTGGTCTCTGCACGTCTGCTGAGTGATTTTTAAAGAGTATGTCGAATTCAGACTCTGTGCTTTGGAGAAGTTCACGACAATCTTCGTAGACCGCACAAAGCAGTGACTTTTGACAGCAGGTCATAACACACTGTATGTACGTGTCCTGGTTTTGTGTGTAGCGAATGCGATTGTGTAGAGTACTTGCCTCGAAGAAAACTTATAACAACAATAGCAATAATGATGATAATGATGAAATGTGAAATACAATATTGACAATGATAATAACAATTGAGTTAGAATAAGATTTTGATAGATTCGTAATATGATACCTTTAAGTGACTGTGTGTGTGTGAGAGAGAGAGAGAGAGAGAGAGAGAGAGGGAGAGAGAGAGAGAGAGAGAGAGGGAGAGAGAGAGAGAGAGGGAGAGAGAGGGGAGAGAGAGAGAGAGAGAGAGGAGAGAGAGAGAGAGAGAGAGAGAGAGAGAGAGAGAGAGAGAGAGAGAGAGAGAAGAGAGAGAGAGAGAGAGAGAGAGAGAGAGAGAGAGAGAGAGAGAGAGAGAGAGAGGAGGGAGGGAGAGGGAGGAGGGAGGGGAGAGGGAGAGAGGGAGAGAGGGAGAGAGGAGAGACGGAGAGGAGAGAGAGAGAAGAGAGAGAGAGAAGAGAGCGAGAAGAGAGAGAGGAGAGAGAGAGAGAGAGGAAGAGAGCGAAGAGAGAAGAGAGAGAGGAGGAAGAGAGGAGAGAGAGAGAGCGAGAGAGAGAGAGAGAGAGAGGAAGAGAGCGCGAGAGAGAGAGATGCCAATAATGATAGTAGTAGTAACAATAATATCAATAATAACAATTATGATGATGAGGATGATGGTAATGAAAATGGTAGATGAAAGTAATGGTAATGAAGATGATGATAACAAGAGTAATTGTAATTATGATAATGAAAATAAAATGTATTACCATTTCAATAATCATGATAACAACAATAATAATCAATGTTTTGACAATGAAAATAAAATAACAGAAAATTAGATATAACTATATTAACAATAATCATTACTATGATAACAATTATGAGAATACTTTTAATAAAATTACTAATAATGATAATGGTAATATAAGTAATAATGATAAAGTTAGTGATAATAGTATTAGAGCAATGGTAACAATGCATGATAAAATGTCTGCATGAAAACTAGGTCACTTAATTACTTAATCAATCTATAAACCTGCTGACCTGTCTGAATGAAAACTAGGTCACTTAATTACTTATTCAATTAATCTATAAACCTGCTGACCTGTTTTCTGAAGCCCCGCCTCCGCCGCCGGGACTTTTAGCCTCAGAAGTTCCAAAAATGTTTGGTGGGCCGCGTCTCCCTTAACGGCCGCCGCAGCCGCCAAACCCGTTGTCAGTCCACAGGCTTCTTGTCTCTCCCTCCCCGCCGCTTTTTCTTCCTCTTCCTCCTCCTCCTCGTCGTCTTCCTCTTCTTTATCTCCTGCTTCGTCCTGGTTTTTCTTCAGTCTTCCCTTGCCGCTTGTCCTGGACGAGCGCTGGCTCAGAATCTTTTTCCTCTTCTTCTTCCTCCCTTTGTCGCCCGCCTCCACCTTCACCACCTTCAGTCTTCCTTCGCCGTTTCCGCCGCCCTCGCCCGCCCACCCTCGGGAGGAGCGCCGGCGGTGGAGGCGGATGGTGAACACCACGCCGAGCACCACTGCATCACAATGAAGTCATGGTGTGGATATTAGTCGCACTATAAGCTTCCAGATCAATGGAATATCTATCTGCATGAGTCTCGCGATTGTCTACGACGCCTCCGAGGCATTACTCACTCACCTAGTATGAGGACCGACACGGTGAGGGCCACCACGGCAGCCGGCGCGGTGAGGGGGTGCCCGCCCGCGGCGTGGGGGGGCGGCAGCTTGGCCCACTGGCACTGCTCCCCGACGTGGTCCGGGCCGCACGTGCATACGTACCCTGGCTGCCGATTCTCGCACGTACCCCCGTGAAGGCACGGCTGCCACGTGCACTCGTCCACGTCTTCGCACGTGCGTCCTACTAGTTGCCTGCCCGGACCGCAGCTGGTGTGAGGAAGACGGTTGAGGAATTACTTTATTTCCCTGCCGTGTTGGCACTTAGTAATTCATCAGTTTGCATTGTTCTTTAAATATGCTAATCTACCATTCTTATAGAAGTGCACGAGATGTTCGTCGCGTAAATAGAAGTAAACACAGCCCTTAAAACATTAATCCTTAACGTTGGACACAGCGATGTTAAATCGAGGATCCAACAGCTTAGTAAACAAGAAAGACAATCGCCTCCCGTCCTCCGCCACGGCAAACAAGGCAACGGTATGACCAGCGACCTTTATTGACCTCCCGGACTCGAACGCCCGCTCGCCGTCGCCCGAGGTAAACAAGGAACTAAGCCTAGACGAAAGTTAGTTCAGCTTTAATCTAATCGAAATCTGCATCTCCTGAGGCAATCTAAATAACCCAAAATCCGACGGTTTCCAAAAGCTGTACAGACCTACAGGTGGCGCGGTCCCAGTTGGCATGGCAGCTCAGCGGAGGGTTGCAGTTGGTCCTCAGGCAGGGGTCGGGAGGGTCACAGCCCTTCTCCAGATGCTCTAAGGTCGTCACTTGACCCCATCTAGTGCCGTTGACCGCCGGGGGGAGAGGCAGGGGGCGGCCAGATACTCTTATGTCTTCGACACACGCTATCAAGAGGAAAGGAAGAGGAAATTGGTGTGTGGCGCGGTATCGAAAATGGGACTGACGTTGAGTAAGTGAAGACATACAAGGGACTGAAGAAAGTAACGAAGTTTAGACGCACGGAGGCACGTTCTGCATTTTTAATACACTGCGAAGAATGTACTTATGGTGCGTATATGTGTATGAGTATGCATGTGCACATTGATATAGACAGATAAACAGACACATATTTATACAAACATGAATAACGCAAAGAAGAGAGTCGGGAAGATGTAAAAAAGGACAAAATTCAAATAAGGAACGAAAGAGAAGCAGGCAGAGATAACGGCGAATAGATGTGAACGGAAGAAAGAGATAAACAAAGAAAGCAATAAATAGACCCATACAGAGAAGATGATGGAGTCGGCGTATCCATCACGAAGCTGACATTGTCCTCGTTGAAATTTGAGACAAGGTTCCCTCATATTTCATTTCCCTTTCTCGTTATTATTCTTTCCGTCGCTGTTCATGCATTTTCACTTTTATCTTTCAACTTTTCTTCCGTAATTTCATTAGTTCTCAGATCTTTGTTAATTCAGTCTCAAGGATTTTTTTTTCTATTACCATTTTTAAGTTATCAAAATTTAGTTTAACAGTTTAATGCTTTTATGAACATATAAAATCCGAGGATATTAATGTCGCTAAATCCTAATCCACTAACCACAAAATACTTTTATTTGAAGATGGAGAATGAAATTATTTATACATATATACGTACTTATACATATTCATATATGATACACAGCAGAGAAAAGTGTTGAATTCTCTGACGTGACACTTACTGTCGCTCAGATCGTCATGCACTGTGACGAGATTGACGCCACTCCGGGATTCCCACCGTCACCCCGTCGTGCTTGTCTACCCCGGCGGGCGGGGGAGGCAGCGCCCCCCCGCCCTCGTCGCCGTCAGGGAGGGCCAGGAAGGCAGGGTGGATGGAGGCGTTCCCGTTGCCAGCGTCGCCGTCGTCCACGCCCACCACAAGGTTGTGGCCGTGACGCTCCGCCCACACGGTGTGCCACGCCCCGTCACCCCCCCTCCTCGACGCATGCTGCTCTGGCCGCCCAGCCCGCGCCGCCCATGGAGGCACACACGCTACGCCCCACGCAACTGGGTAAATAGACAATTTCTATCGATAATGGATATATATATATATATATATATATATATATATATATATATATATATATATATATATATATATATATATAATAT